GACAATATCCACAACAGTTGGTTGTACAAGTCAAATCCCATAAAATTGAATTTAGGTTAATTCTCACATGGATAAAATACAAGAGTGAAACTGGACCTATTTGTAATTTAGGATGGACTTATGGTCTGGAGAATGTAATAACCATCCCCCAACCAAGAGTCCTATCTAAAAGAAATGGACTCTTGAAGTAGCTTATAAGAGCCAATATCTCTAATCAAAGTGGATGCATTTTAAAATCATGAGATTCATTTTATTGAATCAAAGTGAACAATATCCACAATGATATTTTTGAATTGTTATACGTAAGACTCTTGCACTACCTAATTTAATTAAAAACAAAATTTATTAGATTTAACACTTAAATTAACAGTATTTGACAATGTGGTATTAACACTTTTAGTCTATTCCCATGTTTGGTTAAAGGAAAGGAAAAGGAAGGAGAGGGAAATAGAAAGATACTCTTGTTTGGATACACTAATAAGTAAAAGAAATTAAAGAAAAATTAGAAAAAGCATCTCATCTCCCTTGCGATTTTTGTTATCCAAAAAGGAAAAAATTTTCCCCACCCTTCAAACCAAACAAATCATAAGGATAAAAACGAACATAAAACATGGAGTAGAAGAATGATAATGAAAAAAATAGTGTACAAGGACAATAACAAACAATTTTTCAAAGTTCATGGACTTCTACTACCTTTAACCCTTAAACAATTGAGGAATTACTCAACGTGAAATTTCACCCTCCTAAGATAATACCTTGGCTTCGTCCCCCTTATCTTGCTTACACTTTCGAAAGGCTAAAATGAAAAAAAGAATAAAGTACTGTGCTTGCAACCTGAAGATCTGCCAAGATAGGATAGAACTCCAGGAGGGAGCCTGTAACAACATCACAGACAAACCTGTAGAGCCGCATGACAAAGAAAACTGAAAAAGAGCTCAAGAAAAAAGAGAAGGCGTTTTCAGTAATGTTTTGGGAATTCTCTAATTCTAATATTAAGGTTACAAAATCTCCTCATTTCCCAAAATTTGCATGGTATCAAATAAGTGGTAATTTTGCAAATACAAAGTCCATTTAGCTGATGCCTATTGAGGTGCTTGACGCCACGACCTCCTTGTTCTTCTTCTTCTTCTTCTTCTTCTTCTTTCCTTTTTTTTTTTTAGTTGTATAATGAAAAATAATTTTTTTTTATTCTTTACTCCATCCTATGTTGTATAATGAAAAATTATTCTCTTTTATTTTTTACTCCACCTTATTTGTATATTATATAATTTAAATTTAAAACTTTTTATTTCTAATAAAAAAAATTAGCACTAAATTATTTAATTTGTTAGTATAATTTCATTGGTCGTAGTTTGCTTTATGCCTGGCTTATAATGTTCTCATTATTTATTAAAAATCAGTCCATGAAATTAAGGAAATCACAAATTCAGCTACTTACAAATTCCCTAATGTATAGAAGAATTTCTCCATATTACTAATTAGTATGCCATTACTTGAAGGCAAATAAGAAGACAATTTTAACCCAAGATTAGATCCACCATTAAACAAAAATCATTTTGTAAATTAAATTTAGATTCAAGTTTTGATTCTATTATTTAAGAAAATTAGATTTTTTAAATATATCATATCAATTTAAGGGATACACCCTTAAAATTACGTAGGGATAAATTAGTGGTAAAATGAACAAAAACTTTTCCGATACCCCCATTTGTGAATGCCAAAAAAAGAGAATAAAAAGAAAAGGGCACGCATTGTAAACTCTAGCCTGTAACGAGTCATAAGCCAAAGACAATGAGGCAAACCACATGAAACCTGCAAATTGCACGGGAATTCCAAGTTCCAACTCCAGTATATGAAAAAACAATACCCTGAAATGCGTCTCTTATGTTCGTTCATGGAGATTAAAATGTAATCATATTAGATCGAAAATTTGAACTCGGTACAGACAATAGTCATGACAGGTTACAGACCTACAAGCTTCAATAACAATGACGACTAATTCTGCGACTTCCTACTCGCTTTACAGAAAATTCCTTTTTTCTAAGTTGGAACATTTCTACAACTATTTGATCCTTAAAATGATACCGCAAATTGAACATAAATTGACAGATATGATGCAGTTGTACAGTTGTACTTAAGTTTGCAACAAAGGTGGCTAAGCTCCCTCTCTAAAGGGTACACTAATGTCCATTGCTGCAAGCCCTTCTAACTCTTGGATTACAGCCACTGCACTGGTATTGCTTTCACTGGTGAACTGAGGCTTTAGCATGTCGACTGCTTGCTTGACTTTTGATTGCTGTAAACAACACCATTGTATCATGAATGAACCAATGGAACTTTACTACAACCTGGAGGAAAATAGAACCATAAGCAAAGGAAATTCTTTTACTTACAAAAAATTGAAGCTTTCTCTGAAGATCTCCATATGCTGCAGTTAATGACGTTTGTTGTACAGGTACTTCGGTTGTCTTATTATCAAAATGGCATATGAAAAATGAAATTAGATTAGTACACCCCAAAATATAAACGAATCATAGCTGAGAACTGCAGATAAAATTACACCTGATTGCATCAGATGATTGACCTAAGAATTACTGGGAACAAAACAGCTTTTAACATAGATATTAATGATAGTATGCAGAAAAAATAAAAATAAAAAAGCGCTTAACTAATTGATTAAGCTCACAAGCTCTTTAATTTAAGTAGAGCATTAGCAGATTCAAAGTTGACTCCAAGTGCTACTTCAACTCAGGCTTAGTTTGGGAGTGCTGGTTTGTAACTGTAGCTGTTGGTTTTTTGTTCTTTTAACATCCTAAAAATATATAAAATATATTTCATATTTATTTTGATTAATATTTTATATATTTTTAAAATAATAAAGAGACATAAAAACCAAAAAGCTAAAGCACCAAGAAGCATTCTCAAATGAAGCCTCATAAGCAATCAGTCAAGTTGTTGGACAGGCAATTCCAACTTGACTAGCTTGGTTACGCTCCAATCTGTATATATTTATTAATAATAATTTATATAATTAAGTTTGTTAATAACATTCAAGCTCAAGCTCAAAGATATTTCAAGCCTAAAATCAGGCTTGAGTTGAAGCCTGCTTGATTATCATTTGAGCTTGAGTCAAGTCAAGCCCAACTCAAGCTTCTGTCGAGTAGCTCATGTTTAGCTCAGCTTATTTATGGCCCTACATACCTGACACAATGGCTTGGAGATTTGGTGTACACAACTCAAAAATATTTACTAGATTAATCATTCTCCATAGAAGATTCCATATTAAGGCACTCACCCACACTGCATCACCCAACTCTCACCAGCACATTTTATCAATCCATCAACTGAAACAAAAAAACTTCATGAAACTCCTATGTGGTTTGCTCCAATTACAATTTGCTACTAATTATATTTCTAAAAATTTAGCAAAAGAAGAAAAAGAGTATTGGGCAACATTGCTTTCATATCTCATATTTTTTGAAATTTTCAAACATTTTCCTAAGTTCTGGAAATTTAAAAAATAATAAATAAAAATTTAAGTTTTTAATATTTTAGGAAGTAAACATAAATGATGTATCTCCTTTCTTTACTGAAACCATAATATAGCCAACAATCCTAGGAACTTCTAAATTCAAGTTGTAAGCATGCAAGTAGGGTAATTAAA